TCAAAGACACATAGTTGAGTTAATGGAATTTTCATTTCACCACCTGATCATATGAAAACAAATTAAAAGTGGAAAATGTTGAAAATGATCCTACTTACTTATCTAAATGAATTTTAAAACAAATTTAGCAAATTTTGTTCTTTAATATATCAGTTTGAAATACTATCGTAAAAGTTAAGTCTGTAATTAAAACTGGAAAGGAAAGAATAACTTTATAAAACTATCATTTTTCTTCTAATCATTTATAATTAATTTTTTCATTATAATATAGTACCATTTATTGTACCTAGCTTAAGAGTCTCCTAAAATTATTTCTTAAATTAAAAAAAAAAACAAAATAAAAAAACTGAACATTTGTTTGTTTCAAAGCAATTTATTGGCAAATTTTTAAAATCAAAATTTGATTTTTTTGTATTTCTGCCCATCAATCTGGAAATGATAGCTCATAAGAAAAAAAGCACCTTATTTTTTACATTATATTTATCCTGCTATCTTCTATTTCATAACCTCCAACCAAGTTATAAGTGATAACAAAAATCAGAATCTAATTTAAATATTAAAGAAATAGAAAACATAGTGGTTATCATGCTTAGAATATATATATTAATATTTTACTACTCAATGTCCAGAAAAAATTAAAGATTCTAATAATGTATGTCATTACAAAATCAAATATGAGAAGCACTATGCAAGCCAGCCACAAAATGAATATTGAATAGTTAAAAGATATTAAAAAGATGAATATTCACACATAAAGTGGTCTACACAAATCAGAATAGGCTCATTTAGCAAAAAATTACTTGCTCAGAGGAAAAGCATTATCAACATAGTTGTACTAAAAAAAAATAGGTGCAAAGTTTTAAAAAGCAGAACTGTTGAAATTTCAATTAACTAAAGTCCATTTCCTTTCAATTTCCGATTCTTAAAATCTGAAATCACCAAAGCAAGCATCATTCAGAACTGTTTGCTATTAATGCACTACCATGCTGTTTTTCTAAGTATTTGCTTATGTGGTGTCTGGTGTCCCTCTCTGGCCATAAACTCCTCACCATTTACAACTCAGATCGGTGTGCCCCCTTCCTTTATACTCCCCAAATAACCTATGCTTAGAGTTTGTGCTTGCCTTCTTCAGTAAACTGTGACTCCTTAAGAGCAAAAACACTGTTTTATTTATCTTTAACTCCAGATTGCTTAGAAAGTACACCTGGCACACATGAGCATTCAAAATGATTTATTCTTTAATTAAACTTCATCAGTCATGGCCTAAACAACAGAACACTCAGATGAAATTAAATCAATAGCACAAGCTGGTTTGTGACAGAGGCTCTTCATCCCTGTCTTAAAGCATCAGGTGGTCACACAAGTAAAAAAATTCCTACTTCATAAGTATTACAAACATAGAAACAAGAAATGTCTTGCCTACAATGAGTTGTTAATAAATTCTTTAACAAGGCAAATTAACAACACACAATGAGGCAACCTCCTTCATTCCAGTGTTCTCCAGGATTTTCTTCTTCAAAACTATAAATCTCCAGGGCTTTTCTTTACCTCCTTGATTTTACTTATTCCACTCCTACATGGCGAAGAATCCTCCAAGGGAAATCAGTGGCAATATTGGAAAGCCCAGATTAAAAACAGAGGCAAAGTTTTAAGAAAAGCAGTATTATTCACACTGATAGTCTGATCTATTATTAAAGATAGAAACTTATAAAATAGAAGAAAAGTCTTATTTTAAAAGATGATACTGAATGACCCAAGATGTCTCCATACATCAAATATTTGGTATAGCTATCTCCTATGCCTCAACTCTGTATTCCACTCATTAGACCCACTGAGTATCCCACTTACTACAAGTTCCTAAATATAACCAGGAACGTCTTATCCTATTGGTTGATGTCAGGGAGGTTATACTCTGACACTATAAAATGAAGACACCCTCTAATTTGGAAGTAAAAAAAAGAGAGAGAGAGAGAGTGTTCAATTTTGGCATCAATGCCAGCTTTCAATTTTTTTTCTATTTAGGGGCATTTTGCTTAAAATAGAGTTCACTTTAAACAGAAACAAAAAAAAACAAATGATTTCAAAAATTAATTTTAAGAGACTATATACACCAAGTACTTCTGGGATTCTGGTAACAGCACTAAATGGTCATTAGAAGTAAACTCTGATTTCTAGATTTAGCTACCTGTTACCCCTTAAAAAAACCTTCTATTTTCCTCATAATACCAATGATAGCATGTAACTAAATAAGGTCTAAATTTTTTCTCTTTTATATTTCAAACTTGAAAAATGAGCATAATGCCAAAACAATGTGGACATTAAAAGTATATTCTTAAAGAGCTCTGAAGTAAAAAGCTAAATGTAATAGACAAAGATCATCAAGGTAACACTGGATAATAATACTCAAAATAGCATGAAACTGAAAGGATTAATAGAAGTGCATTAAAGCAATTTTTAAAAAAATTACTACACCCAAATAAATCATTTTAAAACAGTAAATTCACTATCTTGAAAATTATACTCAAATTCTTTAAGAAAATAGAGCCAAAAGATTAATTAATACTTAATGAACTCTATTTGAAGGACTCTGGGAACATAACAGTAACAACTTCTCAAGATCTTAGAAAAATCCAAGGCTTGAAACATGTAAATATTTAGCAGGATATCAATAACAAACACAACACCCCTTCCCCTCTAAGAACACATCACTACCACCATGATCTCAACCCTGAACCACCCAAAGAAACCTTACAAACTTTTTCTAAAGGAAACTCCATGTAAAAACATATAAACATTTTCAAATTCAGAGGCTCCAGCATTAATAAAAGGAAAAAAACAAACCAGATCATTACTACAATGATATTAACTCTATCCTTAACCTGCATTGTGGCAACATACAAACTCCTACATCTGAAAGTCTGACATTCATTTTCTGATCAAAATTCCTAGACCCCTGATCTCTGACTCTTCCACATCCCTGAATTTTCTCTCCTCCTCCTCTTCAGTTGCACCACTAAACTCAACCTTCACTTATATTTCTAGATAATCACAATAAGGTTTTGTAACTGTCTGCAGACAAGGCCTCAGGCCTTGTGTACTGCATACAGATAAAACCTAGCACTGAACTGAAATTTCTGGCTTATATTTGGATCTTAGCTCTTTTCTCTGATGGTGAATAGAAACTGAGACAATATATAAAACACAAATTGTTCAATTTTTTAATTATAAAAAGATTTAATATAAGGTTGATAAATTCTAAAATAGATGACTATAAAGCAAACTGCCTGTACTCTCTAAGCATTTCATTTATTGAAAATAATTTTATTCCTAATTAACATAATCAAGTCAGGTATACTGTACCTGAACAGGATTTTTTTTTGGGGGGGCGGGGGTAGGGGGCCTAAAAGCTTCAACAAGTTAATTATCACCCTAATACTCAAATTTTAAAAAAAATTAATATTGAAAGCTGATGAAAAACCTCTGGTTTCATATAACACCTGATCTTCTTTATGGGATAACCAGATGAGGAAACCATGTCTAAATAGAAAATCTGACATAAAATAAACTAAGTAAACTATGTTTCAAGAATCTTTAAATTTAATTTGTAAGGGAAATGAGTGAGGACAGAAATAAAATACATTACCATGTTAGATCAGACACAAGTATCTTGGGAAATCTTGCTCAGCAAATAATTATATTCCACTCCAAAAGAATCATTTAATCCACTTTTCCCTAATTTGAAATATTCACTACCCACCTAGTTTTATATTTAGCTTTGTCTTTATTACAAAAAAAGGAAGGCTTCTATTATGTACATTAATAGAAACCACACCTAATAATTTATTAACTTAAATACTAAATTACCAAATATTTCCCAAGTAATAACTCAGGACACTACTAAAAAGTTTCTTTGAAGGAAACCTATCTTCAGTCTTAAGGTTATAATGAGATCTCCAAATCAGGATCTCCTAAAAATATTCATAATACCATGGGAGTGGTTATAATAGATAAGCAAGTCTACACAACTGGAAAAATTACTTTCCCTTTTGGTAACGTTTTTTCCTTTTTTACTGCCTTAACAAATTTGAGAATATCTATGTTAAATGAATATAAACTTCAGTAATATGGTTCTGCAATCATTTAACAAATCAACTTTAAGTTAGGCATTTGATAATTACAATAAAAAAACACACAATTATAATTCTTAGTAGGTGACCTTTCCTTTTAATAGTTGATTTTCAAGAATTCACTGTTCTTCTAATAAATATTGTTTGGGGCACAAAGTCATCACCAACTGAAATATATAGCTGCATTTAAAAAAATCAGACAAACTGGTAGGAAGGGGGTAGCTAACAAAACAGTTAAAAACAGAAAGTAGGAAAATACCAGATAGCTATTATCTCTCTTCTTTCACAATACCAAATATTTAGTTAGGAAGGAGCCCAAAGCCTTTAATTATCCCTCAAAGCTTTAGAGAAACATTTTTTTAAAGCATGAAATTAAAGAAGAGAATGGTCATAAATATCTTTTAATGATGCTTTTTGTCTTTCATGAGTAGGACAAATTTCCAGATTGGTGAGCATAAGGCTGGCTATGTCTACACATGACCCATCTGAAATGCCTCTGATTTTTACCAACTTCCTGCCTCTATTCCCCTAAAAGATTATTGGGTAAACTTCACCAAAGACTCAGGGACACTTGTAAATTGGTTTAAGTTACAAATCCAGTATCTTATATAAAAATTATTATTTCAAATGAGGATGAATCATTACAAAACAATAAATTAATAAAATAGGATCATGAACTCTAAAGTAAATAAGTAATGTTTTAAAAAGCTAAATATAAGAAGTATCTATAGGAGAAGTCTTAATAAAATTTACCAAGTTCATAAAATTGAGGTAAAATTTATGTTAAATACTCACCACTAATGTTGAGTTCAAAATAAATGAATTTATAAATAAATCTTAATAATATTTCATATTAAGTAATTTTAAACTTACCCAAATGAAGTAAAGTAAACTGGGCTGCCAGTTCCTTTGCATCTTCCAATGTAGTACAGAGTTTGTCTGGCATGAAGTAACTCTGGGATCCATTTGCAATAGCAGGAATAACAATTTTATATACCAAGAGTACTTTCCCATCTTGGCTTGTTGTTGAATATAAGTAATATTCTGGTGGTGCCCAATTATTTTTGTTGCAGTAATAATCCAAATGCATTACTGCAGAATTAAAATGATTTGATTTTAAAGAATACATACTAATTGGAGTAAGCTTTGTTCCAGGAAAAAATGGGTAAGTGCATCTATCGATCTCAGGGGAGCCTGGGCTATGCTGACCATTGAGACGAGCTGGAAGAGCTGGTGGCTTGCCTAGAGTTTTTGGATGGTTCTCTTCTTTATTAGCAAACACAATCAAGTTTTCGGAATTGGGGCTAATCTGACCGTTAAGATGCTGTCTCCAGGTATTTTCTTTATTTACTGGTTTTGCCAGTGTTACCTCAATACTTGCTCCATCAATGCACTTTCCATTCATAACAGACATAGCAGCCACTGCATCTTCTCGGTTGAAAAAGTGAACAAAAGCATAATCTCTAAGTTTCTTTACTCTTTCGACTGCACCAGGTTTGAATTTATTGAATTCTGCTTTAATTGTTTCCTCTGCAGTTGAGATCATTAAATTTCTAACATAGAGAACTTTAACTCTCTGCATGGTTTCCTCATCAACCTCTTTCTCTGGGTCAGCCCAATCTACTTGAATGGTATGGCCCCATAGTTGGAATGTTCCTATAAAAAAGAATAAATTAATCTGAAGACAATTAAAATAAAAGTCAAATAGGTTAGTAAAACTTCTCCAAAGAAGCAGAAACTAAAATACATATTGATATATTTGGTTAAGAATTAGAGTTTCCTACTAACATGAAATTTTACTAAGGCAAACCTAATCAGAATGTATGGTGAAATTAATTTTAAGAGTCAATAAAACAAATAAATATATTTCAAAGACATATCTTTATTAGAAGAATTAGGCAATGTCTTTTGGATTTTTATGAAACAACTCAATATAAGTATATTATTTAGTAATCAGTAAATTATTATAAATAATGACTCATTTTATAGAAACAACTTCTTGTCTTTTAGAATCATTTGATTTACTTTATTTACTCAATCCCTATTCTTCTTTAAGGGCATTATATATTTTCATAATACTGATCTATGAGGTAGTCATTTTTCCATATTTAGAACAAAGGGAATATGGAAAAATAACCTTTAAAAGGATAGGCTTACCTGGAATTAGTTTTCTCCGGGCCATAGCAGCAGCTCTGTGAGATTCATATTCAACAAATGCAAAACCACGATTTTTAGTCTTATCAGTTGCACTTGGATAAACAATGACATCTACAACTCCTTCTGTAACTTTCTTCATTTCATCCAAAATTTCTTCTTTCTTTTTTTCCTTGGGAATAGCTCCAATAAATAATCTGCAATTATCCAAGCTGACACATACACCAATAAACTTCCCTGGTCTAATCTCATAATTATTAAGAATTCTGATGGCTAACTGGGCTTCTTCTTTTGTAGTGTACATCACAAAAGCATAACCTCGATTTTCACCACTAAATTCCATCATAAGTCGAAATTCATATATTTTCCCAGCTCTCTCAAATACAGGGACTAACTCATCTTCATACATATCACGAGGTATTTTTCCTACAAAAACTTCACAGCCTCTAGGTGGAGGTGGACCTTCCCAACCTGAAAGACAAAAATAAATAAATACAGATTAATTCTAATATGATATGTATATTCATTATTCAATCATTCATTGCATAAATGTGCTGTATGCCTTCTCTGTATCATGTACTCTTCTAGGTGCTGGGGGATACAATAATGAACAAAGCAGAAGCCCCTTCCCTCATGAAGCATATATTCAATACAGAAAAACAAAACATTAAATTACCTGTTTGCATCTGATTTGTATCTAGCATATACACCACTCCTCTACTCACTGCTCTTTCAAATTTCTCCCAAAAGTCCTTCCCTTTAAAATCTATAGTACTCTTTTCCCCACTGATCCAATCCTGACTTCTTTCTAAATCAACCCAACTTCTTTGTCAACTGCTTCTTAATCCAAGAGCAGAACTAAAAACTGTAATGATAAAACATGCATAGCATTATAAAATCTACCTCTTTTCTCTAACATTAAAAACTACTGCTAAGGTCTTAAAGCAGTTACAAAGAATAGAGCTACTATTTGGGATACTTGTGGAGCTATATAATAATGTAAATGACTACACTAAAGCCTTGATTTTTTTTTAATATAAATAAATCCATACCTGGAGGAGGACCACCAAATTTCCTCTGCCCATTTTCTTGAACCATGTTGTAACCAGTCTTTTCCATCAAAGCAAGTAATGCTGCTTCATTCTGAGTACCTGTTCGGACTTTACTGCATCCATTTGTTCCATCTATATTTTCTTCATTCATGGTTGCAGTATATACTAAAACAAAATATAAAGAAACAGGAATTATGACATGGAACATCAGGAATCTATGAAGCATTTCTTTGGGTTGCAAGAAATCAAGGGTAGTTGTTGCTGCTCCAGTTGGTGATCACTGCAGTCCTGCGCCTCCCCCCAAATTCTCTACAATGGAAGCTGGATACTTCTTTAAATGACAATTAAGCAGTACCTTAAGTGAAAAAGTGAAAAAGAGAAAAATAAAAGGAACAACAAAAACAAGAGTGGGGAAATAGAAATAAGTGAGATAGAGTTGGAAAAGAAAAAAGCAATAGTAGTAACAAAATAAAGATACTGCTATTAATGAATATATGATCAGTCAGTTTATACAGCCCAAAGTTTAAGTTATTTTGTCATTTAGGCCAGCTGGATTTTTCTGTGCCTTATATTTGTCAGATAAATGTAGCCTATGCCAATATTGCTCATGTTGTCAGCAATCCTCAAGAGCTCCACCAGTTATCAGAAATTGAACAGGTGCTTGGAGTAAGTAAACAGAGCTTCAGATTGGGCCCTGGTTCCTATCTACTGGAAGAAGCTACTACAGAAAGCAGGAATCACAGCCACTTGTCCTCTGAGCAGAAACAGAAGCTATAATGATTTCCAACTAGCAGTAGCTTAAGAAACTTGCATCAATAGATGGGCAGGAACACAGAGAGGAGCCGAGATCTATGCTGACCACTACATATAAAAATTTTTTTAATAAACTTAATTACCATGTCTTAGGTTGTCAGAAAGATCACAATGATCCTAAAGATAATACTTTATTTTGTTTCTTAATTTTATGTCTCTCTCATCTGGTGTTATCCTGAACAAATATAAAAATTAAACCCCACAGTATAGGAAAGATAAAATAGCTGTCTTGGTTTTCAACAGAAATTTCCTAATTATAAATGAAAACCAACTCACTGTAGCATAACATTTTAAAAAGTATAAAATTTTCAGCTACAGTACCTCAATTTCAGACTTTACTCTGCCATATCTGAGCTGTGCAACCTTGGCAAACATAATCAGTTTATTTTATACCTAGCCTCTTTGTCTGTACAATGGGAATACCAATACAAGTTACCACAAGGCTGCTGTTAGGATTAAATGAGGCAATGTCTATAAAAGGCTTAATCAAGGTTAGTTTTGATAAGTACTAGAGAGCACTGAACCTTAATATTTCATGTACCCACACTGTTGGCACAGGTAGCACATTTTTGTGGATTTTTGTTTTGTTTTGAGAAACAAATCACTTCTCAAAGGTGGAGGGGTGAGTATAATGTGGTAGACACACAAGTAGGGAAGAGTATCAGCATCTCCAAGGTGGATAGAAAGTGGAAGTAGAGAGGACATCACCAAAGAGTCACTGCTCCAGAGTACATTAAACTGTCACTGCAGTTATACTCACTCATACTTAGGACAGAACTGTGGCTCTGGAGCCAGACTGCCTGGATTCCAATCCTTTCTTTTCACTTATTAACTATATAATTTTGGATAAGTTACATAGCCCCTCTGTACCTCAATCTCCTCAATAGTAAAATCCAGATAATCATGCTGCCTATCTCATAGTTTTTATGAATATTAAATGTTAACTGTTTAAAAAATGTATCCTCTAGGACTCTTTTTTGGCCCTGAACACAAATACTAATTTTATGCATATATTGGAATCATTCTAATGATTAAACATCTGCAAATAACTACAGTTTAGAATTCAGATATTCAATGTATTTTTATAGTAATTGATTTCAGAACATAACTGACATCAGATAGAAACAGGCTGAGAATACTAACATAAGAAGTTCTATAATAAAAGCCAGGGAATTTCTACACATTATCTTCAGTCTCTACGACAACTCAAAGGGAGTATCAACCTTGATAAAATTATTTCCATAGATGAAAAAACTGAGGCTAAGAAAGATAAATTATCCAAATTATCTAAGATATCAAAGCCAGAATGTGGCACAGACAGAAATCAAACCCAGGACTGTTTGATCTTAAACATACTCTCCTGCCAAGGAAATGATTCTGACATACCTTTTGCCACAACATTACCTTTAAAAGTCCCTCAAGAAACAAAGAAGCCCCCAAATTGACTTGTATGCAAACAGTATATTCAGAAATTATAAACTGATACAGCTAAAATTAGGTAACCTCTAAAGTCTTTCCTAGTTTTAAAAATCTGAATTTTTCTGAGTGGTGATAACTATAGCTACACTCATATCATACATACCACACACAATATTTTTACAGTCTTTAAAGATCTTTGAAAGTTATTTAACTGCATCCAATAAAGTAATTCTGATGAAAACAAGGCAGGAAAGTAACTCATGCACACAAATAGTTTCTATTTGACATCTATCTCATTTCCTTAAACTTGGTATTCCAGTTTTCTTTACTACACTAAGATTCACTTATCAAATTGAGTAATGAACGTTAAGTATTGAGAATGAGATCTTCAATAGCTATCTTGAATTTAACATATCCAAAAACTGGATGTCATTTCATGCCTCCTGTTTTACCTTATCTCCATCAATATTCATCCATTCAACCAATAAATGGCAACACAACATACTCCCTTCTCCTCCAAAGTGCCAAAACCAGAAACTTGGGAGTTAACCCAGAGTCCTTCCTTTGACTCTCAGCTATTCAGTCACAAAGACCTGCTTATTTTACCTTCTAAATATCTCTTGAAATCAGTCTTTTCTTGTCTATCCCAAAGCCTATTCTCGGACAATTATTTCTTACTTGAATTAGTACTAGGTTCCTAACTGCTATTCCAGGTTTTAGTCTTGTTCCCTTATCTTAAGCTCCTACTACAAATCAAAACTAGGGGGAAATGAGTTAATTTATTTTTTAAATCTTAGAATCAAAAAGGCTTTTCTAAGAAATAAAAAGACTTCAAAGAAAAATATTACTAATTTTTTACTACATAAATATTAACTTTTGAAAGGTAAAAAAAAACACAAAACCCAAAAACATAAAACTAAGACAGAAAATTACAAACAGGGCAAAATGATCAGCAATACACATAACAAATGCTTATTTCCTAAAAATGAAAAGAGCAGCACAGTCTCATAATAAGAGCAAACTCGGGTACGTAAATAACTGCTTAAATGTGAATACTGGTTCTTCCCCTTACTAGTTGGGACTCGGGGCAAGTTTGGCCTCAGTTTACTTGCCTCTAAAAAATGGATTATAATAGTTTCTACCTCACGGGGCTGTTGTCAGGATTACACATAAAGAGCTTAAAATAGTATTTTACATATAAGCACTATAAATGTTTTTCCTCTCTGATTAATATATAGCAATTAATATATAGTAATATATAATTAATGTTAATTCTGATAAAAAATTATTGATTAATAAAACAGTAAGAAAAGCACAAACTGTAGACCAGGGACTTCAAAGTCAAATTCATTAATTTATTCAACAAATGTTTGTTAATACATCAGAATTACTTATGTATTCTTTTATATCTAGGATACAGCAGTATAAAAGACCAAAATTCCTCCCTGGTATAGCTTATACTCCAGTGGGAAGACAAATGATAAGACAAGCAACAGGAAAATAATATATGTTAAAAGCAGTTAAAAGAATAGAGACAGCATACATGGAATGAGGCAGGGATTTTGCAGGCGAAGAAAGGGTACAATTTTAAGCAGGATAACCAGCAAAGGCCTCACTGAGAAGGTAACATTTGAGCAAAGAATTAGGGGAACCTAACCATGGTGTTAATTGGAAAAAGCATTCTACACAAATGGAAAAATGAGAACAAAAGACCCCAAAATGGAAGTGTGCAATGCACATATAAGGTATAGCAAGGGGTACAGTATAATAGAGCCAGGGGGAGAATAAGAAAAGATTAATTCAGCGAGGTAACAAGCTGCCACATTACACAGACTTCAGCTTTTATTTTAAGTTAAATGAGGAATAACTGTAGATTTTGAGCACAGGAGTAATATGATCTTTCATTTTAAAAGACTCATCTGGCTACTGTATTGAGAAACCAGTAGAAGAGCAAAGGTGGAAGCAGAGAGACCAATTAGTAGACCAAGACTAAATTAGGTGAGAGATGATGGTGGCATGGATCAGAGATGTTGAGGTGGAGGGAAAAGTAGTTTCTGGTATGAGATGTATTTTGATGGTATATCCAATAGAATTTTCTGACAGATTGGATATGGATTGTGAGATAAACAGAATAAGTCCATGATAATACCAAATTTCTGGCCTGAGCAATAAGTAAGTGAGGAAGGCTGAGATAGGATCGATTTTAGGGGTAAGATCAGAGTTCAGTTTTGGACACGTTAAGTTTGAGTACCCATGAAATGACCAACTCAAACACGTGTAAGGCCCTGACAAGTAATGTGAAATGAGTGGAAAGGCAAAGTACAACACTAAAACATGCTATGGGCTGTGCTTCACTAGAAAGTCCATGTATCATCTGAAAAGGGCAGTGGCTACTCCATTCTAGCAAACGGTTATCATGAGGAAATCCAGTTTGTCCAGTTATGCCAAAGTTTCCAATCTTACAAGAAAAGCCAGAAATCTGCAGATTTTTATGTGAAATCTCTCAATTTTTAAAAACTGAGAGTCAAAGACCTGCCTGTACATACTTTAGTACAACTACATAAATGGCATTTCCATCAACATGTTCACACACTCACAGACACAAAAATGGCATGACTAAAACTTAATCTGGTGGAAAATCATGTTCATACTTAGTGCAGGGTATATTTAGCTCCACATCTCAATTCAAAACCTTAATGAGTCAAATTCTCACAATTCAGTTCAACTCTATACACATTTACTGAATGTTTCCCATTTTTAGTCACTTTACTGGATTTTCAGTCATACTGACAACCGTAAAGGGTAGCACTACAACCACAGGCGGACAGTGCCTGGAATAGAGTATGCCTCAATATAACTTTCTACTAAGCAGAGAGAACTGTACAAGATTGGAAAGGGCTGCCACAGAAGGTAGCTTCCTGCCAAATAAAA